CAGTCACTCTTAAAAAAAAAAAAAAAAAAAAAAAAAAAAAAGCATGCGGCTCCTTTGATATCAATATGAGGCTCTCCAGCTCCATAATAATTATTTTATTTTCAAAACTCAAAAAATATACTATAAAAACAAAAACAACTTTAAAAAAATTAAAAAAAAAACCAATGAGAATATGTGGAGTAGAGCGTAAATGGACAGCTGACAGCCGCTGGGCATTAGGCCCAGCCCCACAACCTTGCTGTGACCAGAACCGCGGCAATGGCCCCATGCTTTCAACTACCGAAGTGCACATACAAATGTTATTGACTCTTTAAACTTAGGAAATTATGTAGATTGTAACTTTTGACTCTTCCGTCTCAAAAGGTTGCCGACCCCTTTCCTAGGTGGGTGTCGTCAGAGTAATCGTGAAGTTCTTGGTAACGAAATAATTGTGTATCGTAGATGAGGAAGCTTGGCGTAGTAGTTCTTTGAAAGATGTTGACTTAATTTGCTGGTATTTGTGACGGAACCTCCCACCCAAGACTTCTCCTAGGTGGGTGGCGTCAAGCTGAAAAATAGAAAATTGAAAAATTAGCAACTCGTACATTTGAAGCCACCCAATACAAGTACTGGGTGACCCATCTCGAGGGCATGTGCACTTCGAGGGATGTGTGGGCGCAACCCCACAGCGATCGTTGGCAAGATTCGCAATTGATTGCTTGATGAGTTGAGTAGTAGATTGACCTGACCGCCTCTCGACCCCGGCAGCCAGCTCTAAAAAGGGCTGACAAACCAAATGACTAAGATCCGTGTAGATCCATAACAGATACTACACTTTGATCTTAGCCAAAATGGAGTAGTTTTACAATTGGAACTGACTGTCCCTTTTATAGTAGACTAGCGTACCCGTCCCCCGCGCGTTGCCGCGGGGATAGAAGTAAGTTTGACGAAATGTATTAGAATGATTTCAGCAACACGTTACCAATCATATGTTCTAAGACGCGTGACCGTCTTTTCTAAAAGTGAGTTATTTAAATGTAAACAATGCCTGCGCTTAAATCATAAATATCGGGATACGCGTTTACATACACTACCGCATGTAAACATTTAGTGTACATTAATCACTCACCGAAATAATGTTAGAACACACTTCGGTGACCGCCCGTGTGTCAGAGACGCACAGGGGCGCTCTCAGGGCCCCCACCCCCCGATTACACTACCGCATAGGCGCGGCGTACGACACCTGGCTCCTTAAAACTAACAGGCGCCATCGTGCCAAATAGCATCCTGTTAATAATGATGCAGATTTCGTCATTCGCTAAAGCGACACAAATGAACCGGATTGTTTTCTTTAACACGTAAAAAAAGTATTTAACGTGTTTTAAATATCAGTGTGACTGATGCAATATGCTAGCGTTACTAATGGTCTATTATTAGACGCTAGATCTCAATTTCTGACTGGCTTGTCTAATAGTAGATGCTTATTGCATCATTCGCAAAGTGAGGAAACTCTACAGTAGGCTCCTCATATTCAAAAAGTTATTTTTTCATCTTTGGCAAGGTGACGAAACTGTACAGAAGGATTTCCTCGCGTCACAAAGTTATTTTTAGAAGCCTGTTGTAGTTTTACCACTGAATATAGTAGAACCCCTTTCTCGCTATGCAGGACGCTCGATTAACGGATGCTAAGTGCCAACATAGTCGCTCTAAAACTCTGGGCGCCAAACCGTGTATTGACGAAAGTTGTACCCTATATGGCGCCGCCCATAAGAAACTTTAGTTTTCTTTTTCGCAGAAATATTCTCAGGAGTATTCTCATCTACTCCCTAAAGTTTCATGGCACTCGGATAAACCGCATCCGAGTTTTATTTTTTATATACCGTGTATAGAGAAAAAAAATTGCTCCCCCGGGGGCGCCGCCCTTGCAATATTAAACAATATTTTTTGCAGAACCCCACCATTGAGTGATCTAATCATCTCCCCAAAGTTTCATGGTACACGGATGAACGGTGTGAAACGGAAATTTTATAAAACATATATAGAGAAAAATCGCAGCCTCCCGTGGCGCCGCCCTTGCGAAATTAAAAAAAGGATTTTTTTTACAGAACCCTTCCCTGAATTGTTCTTATCAACTCCCCCAAAGTCTCATGGCTATCGGATAACGGTGTCAAACCAAAATCGACTTTTATTTTTATATACCGTATATAGAGAAAAATCGCACCCTCCCGTGGCGCCGCCCTTGCGAAATTAAAAATGATTTTTTACAGAACCCTTCCCTAGAGTTTTATAATGAACTCCCCAAAGTTTCATGCCTATCGGATAAACGGTGTCACTGCAATTCACTTTTATTATTTTTATATACCGTAAATAGAAAAAAAAATCTGACCCTCCCGTGGCGCCGCCCTTGCGTAATTAATTTTTTTTTACAGAACCCTTCCCTAGAGTGGTATAATGAACTCCCTAAAGTCTCATGACTATCAGATGAACGATGCTAAACTAAAATCGACTTTCATTTTTATATACCGTATATAGAAAAAAAATCAAATCGCGCCCTGTCGGGGCGCCACCCCTGCGAATTTAAAATATTTTTTTTTTCGCAGAAACCTCCCCAGGAATATTGTCAACAACTTACTAAAGTTTCATGCCTATCGGATGAACAGTGTCACTGCAATTCACTTTTATTATTTTTATATACCGTATATAGAGAAAAATCGGACCTCCCGTGGCGCCGCCCTTGCGAAATTAAAAATGAATTTTTTACAGAACCCTTCCCTAGAGTGGTATAATGAACTCCCTAAAGTCTCATGACTATCGGATGAACGATGCTAAACTAAAATCGACTTTTGTTTTTATATACCGTATATACAAAAAAGCAAATCGCGCCCTGTCGGGGGCGCCACCCCTGCGAATTTGAAATATTTTTTTTGCAGAAACCTTCCCAAGAATATTGTCAACAACTTACTAAAGTTTCATGCCTATCGGATGAACAGTGTCACTGCAATTCACTTTTATAATTTTTGTATACCGTAAATAGAGAAAAATCGGACCCTCCCCTGGCGCCGCCCTTGCGAAATTAAAAAATATATTTTTACAGAACCCTTTCCTAGAGTGGTATAATGAACTCCCCAAAGTTTCATACCTATCGGATGAACGGTGTCACTGTAATTCACTTTTATTATTTTTATATACCGTATATAGAGAAAAATCGGACCCTCCCGTGGCGCCGCCTTTGCGAAATTAAAAATGATTTTTTACAGAACCCTTTCCTAGAGTAGTATAATGAACTCCCCAAAGTCTCATGGCTATCGGATCAACGATGCCAAACCAAAATCGACTTTTATTTTTATATACGGTATATTGAGAAAAACAAATCGCGCCCCGCCGGGGCGCCACCCCTGCGAATTTGAAATTTTTTTTTTCGCAGAAACCTCCCCAGGACTATTTTCAACAACTTCCCAAAGTTTCACGGCGATGTGATGAGAGGTGTAGTAATGCATAAAGGACACACAGACACACACACACACATACATTGCTTTTTACATATATAGATTCAAAATTTATTAATAATTCTTTAATTAAAAAAAATATATTTCTGGAATTGCTTTAAATGCATAAAAATATGTTACATATTATGTTTCTGTTTCATTTTAAAAATCTAACAAACATTTTGTTGATTTTAAATCTAAATTTAACACTTGCTCAATAGTAGAAAATAAACTTAAATTAATACGTTCCTCTGTCGAAATAAAGACATAACTTTGTATCTATTAGTGTCTTCAACCTTTTACGTCTTTTTTTTTTATTAATATAGACTTTATTTACCTCCCTTGGTTTTCAGATATTTTTTTTTGTAAGGGAGATGAAAACAAGAATTTTTTTTTTATTGCGACTATGCCATGAAAGTTTTACACAAACTGCTTATTTAAAATGTTAATTAGGTGCCTTATAAAATTCGGTTTTGTCTGCTGTTTTTCTTAGAATTATCCTGATATAAAATAATTATTGTTAGTCTGTTTCGATCATATCAGTTGAGATTGAACTAAACTGTCTATATTTTAATTTTATCATCTGCTGTTTACATGCTACTAAATCATCCTGGTCAGTTTAGTCTGTTTGGCTTTTTGTGGCAATGGGTAAGGATGGGTGGGACAGTGAAGCAGTAGCGTATCGAGGGGAGGGGGGCATATGTCCCCGGGCGCCGACCTTAGGGGGCGCCAAAATGGGTTGGAAAAATAAATTGAAAGTTTGAGGGGTGGGGTGCAAATCGAAATCTTGAGGGGGGGGGGTGCAAATCGAAATCTTGAGGGGGGGGGGGGCAAATCGAAATCTTGAGGGGGAGTGCAAATCGAAAAGTTTGTCCCCGGGCGCCGGGAAGGGTCGCTACGCCTCTGCAGTGAAGGTTGGTTAACACAATGAAAAGAAGTCTCGAATTGTTCTGCTCGGCTTCGTTAGATCGTCTCCCCTGGAAGAGTATGTGTTTTAGAATGATTTTATAGAGAGGATCTTGTTGCTTGGGAAAATAAGTGAGAACAGTTTCTTTCATTTTATGCTAGGTTGTGAATGTAGTCAAGTCTTCGTATAAGTTGTGAAAGTTGTCGTCCGTGTCTATCTAGCTAGTGCTGCTTAGTGCAATAAAACATAAATTAAAACTCAGTGGCGTAGGCAGGGGGGGGGGGGGGTTAGCGGGGGTCATAACCCGGTATATATATAAAAAGTATCAGGCGGGTGCAAATCGAAAGTTTGAGGGGGGGGGTGCAAATCGAAAGTTTGTCCCCGGGTAAAAATTGGACCCCCTCCCTTGAGACCATCCTGGCTACGCCACTGTTAAAACTATCCTATCATGTTGTGTCGTATGTATCAAATCGTAAATCCAAGATACAATGTATGGTCCACCCCGTCCTCAACTTGTTTCGCAACAGACATTTAAAGAAATCAGGGGATAGTTCCCCATGGCAAGAATGTCCTGATTTCCTTAAATGTGTTCTTACCCACCCCTCAATATAAAAAGAAAACAGTATACTATGAGACTATGTGTGCGATGCACTCAGTTGCAGAGAATCAGAAGAAAATCTTTTGAGGCAATCCGTCTAACTTTATATGATATCTTTAATTGGGGAGAAGTGTAGGGTCTGACTTAACTTTTATTGCATGTCCCTTAATGCTATTGTCAATGGGAGATCTGTAATGTGATACTACAGGTTGATGGGATTCAGAAGCAAGAGTTAACATGTGGTTATCTAACATTTGTATTGTTCTTACAGTCTGCTTATAACTGACGGTTATCTAACATTTGTATTGTTCTTACATTCTGCTTATATCTGACGGTTATCTAACATTTGTATTGTTCTCACAGTCTGCTTATATCTGAGGGTTATCTAACATTTGTATTATTCTCACAGTCTGCTTATATCTGACGGTTATCTAACATTTGTATTATTCTCACAGTCTTATATCTGACGGTTATCTAACATTTGTATTATTCTCACAGTCTGCTTATATCTGACGGTTATCTAACATTTGTTCACAGTCTGCTTATATCTGACGGTTATATAAGATTTGTTCACAGTCTGCTTATATCTGACGGTTATCTAACATTTGTATTGCTCTCACAGTCTGCTTATATCTGACGGTTATCTAACATTTGTATTGCTCTCACAGTCTGCTTATATCTGAGGGTTATCTAACATTTGTATTATTCTCACAGTCTGCTTATATCTGACGGTTATCTAACATTTGTATTATTCTCACAGTCTTATATCTGACGGTTATCTAACATTTGTATTATTCTCACAGTCTGCTTATATCTGACGGTTATCTAACATTTGTTCACAGTCTGCTTATATCTGACGGTTATATAAGATTTGTTCACAGTCTGCTTATATCTGACGGTTATCTAACATTTGTATTGCTCTCACAGTCTGCTTATATCTGACGGTTATCTAACATTTGTATTGCTCTCACAGTCTGCTTATATCTGACGGTTATCTAACATTTGTATTGCTCTCACAGTCTGCTTATATCTGACGGTTGTCTCTCTTGGTTGGGCTGTACTCGGCCAGGACACAACCACAACATCCAACCCCTCCAGCCAGGATGTCCAACCATCTACCAACTCGACCACCCTCCCCACCGTTGACCCCGAGCTCACCACGGACCAACCCTCGACCAACGACTCCGCCCCGGCCCGGATGGACTGTCAGCAGAAGCTTCTGGAGCGCGCCTACTCGTGCGTGACCAAGCATGACGTGGACTTTAACCACTTCCTGTTAATGGCCGTCTCCAGCCTGAGCAGTGAGGCCAACGTCACGAAGCCGGCCATCATTGAGGGGGTCAACATGTCCGAGTTTAAGGAAAAGGTTTGCAAGTGAGTATAATTTTTGTTTACATTATTTGTCAAATTGGGTTACTATGGTGACGGTATGACACCTATGGGTGCGGGTGTGTGTGTGTGTGGGTTTGGTGGGGGGGGGGGGATTTCAGAGGTTAAGGTTTGAAAACTAGTAGCTTTTCATTATAACTGTTAAGCTGGGTTTCCATGGAGACTGAATCTGCCACGGGTGGGGGGGGGGGGCATATCCGATTATGACAGAATCTTTTAGAAAAATTCGATTGGAAGTTATTTTTAATCAAGGTGACATCATAATTACATCATCATTATCTTTTACGATTTTTGGCCAAAACACATGTGACAGATAAAGTAGAGTTTTACTCTTTTAATAACCTCGTCATACAGGGGGACAGTGTGGCCATCATAATGCCCAGCTATCGTCGTTTCTCTAATCTGGGCCAGGTACCCATCAGAGTCCTTTAGACTCCAGCCCGGAAACCGAACTCGAGACTTTTGGGTTAGCAGCCGGAAGCTCTACCACTCGACCACGCTTTACTTATAGCTACATGGACCGAGATTAGTTTCAGTTAACTAAAGCTTGATTCTCAAAAATATGTGCTTTTAGGGGGAAGGCTCCGGTAAAAAAAACTTTTTTAATACTCGTTAGAAAACAGTTATTTCTTTACATATTTATTAAGATACATCCGCATATGCATTTCCAAAAAAAAAAAAAAAAAATTCGTGGAAAAATCTTGGTAACTATGACAACGGCGGCTATCTTGAAAAATTAACCCCTTCGTAGGTTTTCCCCCATTCATAAAATATTATATTTTAAGCCCAATAAATAATGAATTCATAATCTTCTTCCATGTTTTGGGGCACTCAGCTAAAAATTTTAAGTGCATATCCTCAAAATAATTTATTATGAATTTTCAAAATTTGTGTACGTTCAAAACACTAGTTTTAATGCCCCAAAATTCCCCTTAACAAGTGTCTGCCCTTTGGGGATTGTAAGTCATCCTCCGAAAATGTCAAGTGCCCCCTGCCCCCTGCCCACAACGGCGAAAACTCTGCTTCGAATCAATCATACTAAACAAAAACTAATAAAAAACGTAAAATGTCTAGTAATTTTTTTTGTTCTAAACCGTTTCAAATCAGCGCACGCCCGGACATCATGCAGTGCACGTTCAAGGCCGCCAAGAGTCTGATCAACACAAAGGCGTGCGCGAACAGTGCTCACCCCGAGGCTGTGGCCAGTCAGGACCTGATGATCAACGACCAGCGGTACCTGATCAAAGAACAGATGGAAGCCATCCTGGGGCAGTACGACATCTTCTGTGCTCAACGTAGGTTCTTCTAGGTCTAGTGCTGAACGTAGTAGGTCTAGTGATGAACGTAGGTTCTTGTAGGTCTAGTGCTGAACGTTGTAGGTCTAGTGCTGAACGTAGGTTCTTGTAACTAGGTCTAGTGCTGAACGTAGGTTTTTGTAACTAGGTCTAGTGCTGAACGTAGTAGGTCTAGTGATGAACGTAGGTTCTTGTAGGTCTAGTGCTGAACGTTGTAGGTCTAGTGCTGAACGTAGGTTCTTGTAACTAGGTCTAGTGCTGAACGTAGGTTTTTGTAACTAGGTCTAGTGCTGAACGTAGTAGGTCTAGTGATGAACGTAGGTTCTTGTAGGTCTAGTGCTGAACGTTGTAGGTCTAGTGCTGAACGTAGGTTCTTGTAACTAGGTCTAGTGCTGAACGTAGTAGGTCTAGTGCTGAACGTAGTAGGTCTAGTGCTGAACGTAGTAGGTCTAGTGATGAACGTAGGTTCTTGTAGGTCTAGTGCTGAACGTAGGTTCTTGTAGGTCTAGTGCTGAACGTAGTAGGTCTAGTGATGAACGTAGGTTCTTGTAGGTCTAGTGCTGAACGTAGTAGGTCTAGTGCTGAACGTAGTAGGTCTAGTGCTGAACGTAGTAGGTCTAGTGATGAACGTAGGTTCTTGTAGGTATAGTGCTGAACGTAGTAGGTCTAGTGCTGATAGTAGGTTCTTGTAACTAGGTCTAGTGCTGAACGTAGGTTCTTTTAACTAGTTTAGTGCTGGACGTAGGTTCTTTTAACTAGTTTATGGCTGGACGTAGGTTCTTCTAGGTCTAGTGCTGAACGTAGTAGGTCCAGTGCTGATAGTAGGTTCTTGTAACTAGGTCTAGTGCTGAACGTAGGTTCTTTTAACTAGGTCTAGTGCTGAACGTAGGTACTTTTAGGTCTAGTGCTGAACGTAGGTTCTTTTAACTAGTTTAGTGCTGGACGTAGGTTCTTTTAACTAGTTTAGTGCTGGACGTAGGTTCTTCTAGGTCTAGTGCTGAACATAGTAGGTCTAGTGCTGATAGTAGGTTCTTGTAACTAGGTCTAGTGCTGAACGTAGGTTCTTCTAGGTCTAGTGCTGAACGTAGGTTCTTCTAGGTCTAGTGCTGAACGTAGGTTCTTTTAACTAGGTCTAGTGCTGAACGTAGGTTCTTTTAACTAGGTCTAGTGCTGAACGTAGGTTCTTTTAACTAGGTCTAGTGCTGAACGTAGATACTTTTAACTAGGTCTAGTGCTGAACGTGGGTTTTTTAACTTGGTCTAGTGCTGAACGTAGGTTCTTTTAACTAGGTGTAGTGCTGAACGTAGGTTCTTTTAACTGGGTCTAGTGCTGAACGTAGGTTCTTTTAACTAGGTCTAGTGCTGACGTAGGTTCTTTTAACTAGGTTTAGTGCTGAACGTAGGTTCTTTTAACTAGGTCTAGTGCTGACGTAGGTTGTTTTAACTAGGTCTAGTGCTGAACGTAGGTTCTTTTAAATAGGTCTAGTGCTGAACGTAGGTTCTTTTATTTAGGTCTAGTGCTGAACGTAGTAGGTCTAGTGCTGAACGTAGGTTGTTTTAATTAGGTCTAGTGCTGAACGTAGGTTCTTTTAACTAGGTCTAGTGCTGTTCGTAGGTTGTTTTAACTAGGTCTATTGCTGAACGTAGGTTCTTTTAACTAGGTCTAGTGCTGGACGTAGGTTCTTCTAGGTCTAGTGCTGAACGTAGGTTCTTTTATTTAGGTCTAGTGCTGAACGTAGGTTCTTTTAACTTGGTCTAGTGCTGAACGTAGGTTCTTTTAACTTGGTCTAGTGCTGAACGTAGGTTCTTTTAACTTGGTCTAGTGCTGAACGTAGGTTCTTTTAACTAGGTCTAGTGCTGAATGGTTGTTACGATGGGTTGGGTGTCAGACTACGTTGGCTTGAGCGAGCGGTAGTTTAAAATGTGAAGAAGAAAATACTTTGTTGTATTTAAAAGAAAATTAAATTTGTTGAAATATTTGTTATCCCAATGACATTGGAGGTGGAAGATGGTGATGTGCATTATTTTGACAGTTCATTTATGTTTTTTTTTTCTGTGACATTCTGTGACATAAGAGGTTGGGGGTTAACGCGGATTAAACAGATAAGGCTGTCTAGGTACGTTTAACTCAGGATTAAAACAACGAGTGAGAAATAAATGTTTATTGTAATTATTCATATTATCCTAATAGGGTTTATTACTGTTGAAACTAAAAGCAGAGAAAGGACTAGAGACTAATAGATTTACTTTCATTTTCTTGTCGTAAACTGAATCTTAACTAGCCCAAATCATATAATCATAACTGTAACAATAATGTAACAAAATTAGCAAAAAAAAAAAAAAAACAAAAAAAAAAAAAACAATAAAAAAAAAAAACAAAAAAAAAACACTTTAACAGTAACTCTAACAGAAACCAAAGCAGAAACTGTAACACAAACACTATAGTAATCGTATAACCCTAGCCGTCTAACTCGAACTCTCTTGACGATTACAATTGATAGCCTTTTTTATTTACCGGAGTATAGTAGCTCATTGAGATAATGAATAACTGTTTTCGTTTGGTACATTCATGCCAATTCCTTTCAAGTCGTTTCAAATTTCTGGGCACATAAATATCTCCTTTGTAAACATTACACGCACTTTAATAGAAAAAAATTGTTTAGTTTGAATAAAAATTATATTCTATTCCTAAGCTTTCTTAAGCCGATTGTCACATTTCAGTTGAATTTAAATCCAGGTATATACAAAAGAAAAGCTTTTTTTTTATAAAAACATTTATTCCATTGAGATTGTAATACGTCCACAGCGTGTAGGATTAGCCTGCTAGATGATATGAGGGAGTGCTACAGGAAATACGATCTAGACCCGGCCATATTTTTACCCACCAAGTCCAGTGGACCTGTCATAGGCAGCGACAGCTGGGAGGTGGATACGTTTTGCAAGTGAGTTTTCCTAAAGGGGGGGGGGGTGGTTCTCAGGAAGATGGAGGGGATAGGTTGGGCTATTAGAGGTGAGTGTGGGGGGGGGTAGGTTTCTCAGAGAGATGGAGGGAATAGGGGTTGTGCTATTATAGGTTAGTGTGTTGTTTGGTCAAAGTATGCTGGTAGACTATTGAAAAGTCATGTTATTCAAGGAACCTCTGATTTTCAGAATGTATTGTAATGGAAACAAGAAATCGTATCGTTTTTTATTCATATATTTTGTGGGGTTTTGGGGTACAAATAGATTTTAAGCCCACACACAAGTTTTAAGGGAAAGTTTGAGAATGTTCAACGTGTAGTAAAGTTAAATGGAAGCTACGAAATTCTGAAAATTGAAGCGATAAAAAACACCAACGAACCCGCAGAACACACACACACACATACAAATGATACACGCCACACACATTCACCCACTTCAACACCAAAACAAATACACACACCCACTCCCACCCACCAAAACATACACAGACACAGACACACACAGACACACACACACACACACACATATATATATATATATATATATATATATATATATATATATATATATATATATATATATATATATATATATATATCAGAAACAAGGATCAGCTTGTCCAGTGTATGAAACAGAAACGCGACGCTTGCCCCCAGTCCAAACTTGTATTGACCGCGATAGGACTGGACCTGGATACAATGGAGAAAGGATTTGACGTTTTGTGCCAGGATAAAGAAGGTACTGAAGCAATAAAGAGTCTTTTTTTAATAAATACGATGTGCTAAGCTAACATGATATAAAAATATGATGTATTTAAAATACATATGTAAAACAGCGGCCTAGGGAGGTGGGTATCAGGAGAGTACTCCCCAATGAATTTCCAAAACGAAAGTAGTGTAATATTAAGCTACAGCCATTGGCAGTAACGTTCTCATGTTGGTTTAAAACCACATTAAACCAACAGCAATCGTCGCGATATATATATAAATAAATAAATAAATAAATAAATAAGTAAATAAATAAATAAATAAATAAATAAATAAATAAATAAATAAATAAATAAATAAATAAATAAATAAATAAATAAATAAATAAATAAATAAATAAATAAATAAATAAATAAATAAATAAATAAATAAATAAATAAATAAATAAATAAATAAATAAATAAATAAATAAATAAATAAATAAATAAATAAATAAATAAATAAATAAATAAATAAATAAATAAATAAATAAATAAATAAATAAATAAATAAATAAATAAATAAATAAATAAATAAATAAATAAATAAATATATATATATATATATATACGTATATATGTATATCGGGAAATATTTTCGACCCCTAAACCCTCGCCATGAACTATCCCTGTTTACGTCGTTGATGTAAAACGCTATTAATTCCCTAGAAATGAACGGCTATGGACGAAATACGTTTACCTATCAACACCACTAGAAAGCTCTGATATGGGGTCTGGGGTTAGTGTCTTGTGGGGCTGGGGAAGGTTAAATAAACAGTCGGAAATCGACGCGCCCAAGACACATGAGGCCGCCACAGAAAGCTCCCTCCACTTTTGTCGGTCTCCTGCAATTTTTGTGGCAGTCCCCCTTGATAGCCCTGTCTCTGCCTCCACGTCTTCTATGGCCCAGGATATCACTGCGGTCTTAAATTCTTCGAGCCTACCCTATAAGCCTGTCTTGGGGTCATCTTCCAGGGATGTGTGACTCAAGCACCTGGCTAAAAACAAGAAACAAAAGATGATTTAAGAAATGTCTAGAAAGTAAACTCTTAAAGGAACCGATTATGAGATACCTCCACAATAATGTTTTTAAATTTTTTTTTTTTTTTTTTTTGCGATTGATCGGTTTTTAGTATAGGCTTTCTTCTTCTTTTTCTAATTCGTTCTCAATTGAATTTATGTTTGTGGAATAAAAAAGTCCAACTTCGTCGATGAACTGGACTGTGGTCTCCTGCTATGCAGGCGCCACATATAATTCTATTGTCTTTCGAACAAACGGTATTAGGGTAATTAGCATTGCGGAAAACAAAAGAACAACAGACATCTTCCAAAATCTTTCGACCGTTAATTTTAACTTGAAAATTAACATTAAAGATTTCACAAAACAAGTGACCATTGACTGTCCGTTATTTTCAGTGTACCTGAAAGGCTTGGAGTGTTTCGAGTCCCACACAGACGAGGTGGGCATCTGTCATTCGGTCAAACATCGCGGCGTCATCCGGACCTCCCAGAAGGCCAGGGAGCTCAAGTGGACAAGTGAGAAGTACTTCGAGGAGGTTTGTGGGTAGGTCATTTCACCTGTAGGTCTTTTAACGTGTAGGTCATTTCATCTGTAGGTCTTTTAACGTGTAGGTCATTTCATCTGTAGGTCTTTTGACTTGTAGGTCATTTCACCTGTAGGTCTTTTAAATTGTAGGTCATTTTATTCGTAGCTCTTTTAAGTTGTAGGTCATTTCATGTGTAGGTCGTTAAAGTTATAGGTCATTTCACCCGTCGGTCATTTATGTTATAGGCCATTTCTCCTGCAGGTCTTTTAAGTTGTAGGTAATTCACCTGTAGGTCTTTGAACTTGTATGTTATTTCATATCTAGGTCTTTTAAATTGTAGGTCTTTAAACAAGTAGATCATGTAAACATTAGGTCATTAAACATGAAAATCCTTTTAACTGTTGTATTTCCTTAAAGCTGTCAATAATTAGCATATGAAAATACAGTTTCGTATGTAAATAGGTCAGCTAGTTTGTAAGTTGGTAATATGCACATGTAATATTTCAGATGAAAGAGATTACAGAAAGTTTTACTTTTCATATTTTCAGTGTGCTTAAAGCTTATTATTACAAATTCTTACAAAATATTCACAAATGTTGTTTGCCCAATAGCCGTTTTCCCGAATGAACACTTTTGTGAATGAGCAAGTGTTCAATTGGGCAAGTGTCCGTTCAGGCAAATGTTCATTTGGGCAAGTGTCCGTTCAGGCAAATGTTCATTTGGGCTTTGTCTCAGTTTCGCAGGTGTCTATTCGGGTGTTTGTCGCATTGGGACAACTGTTCTTTCGGGAAGACGGCCTTCGGGCAAACGACATTCGGACAAGTTTCCATTCGGGCATTTGTCGCTAGTGTTAGTTTCAGAATGGGGCCTTGGGGCAAGTGTCTTTTAGGAAAACGTCCACACTCCCCCCCTATAGTAATACCCCCACTGCAACAAACCACTAAACGTAACTTTGATGTTACAGAGTTCTCGTACATCACATGGAGTGCGACCTCAAAGCCTGGGCAGCGAAAAAACACGAAAAATGTAACCCACAGATCATCGGACTAAAGCGGAAGTTGCACTGCAGTTTGGTGCATAGCCAATGCACCAAGTCGCACGGGGAGGTAATCAACGACATATGCAACCCGCCTATCCAAGAGATGCTCTATTCGCACGCGGGCAAACAGCAGACTACACATGTGTTGGGTGTCGGTGTGCTGTTGATCATGGTGGCTACTATAATTAGAATGTAATGTCAATATTTGGTGTATAAAGCTTTAAAGTATAAGATTTGTGATGAAATTTTAACAATGTGAAAAACGGCAACATCATTGTTCAGATTTGAAAGAAAAATATGTTAAAATAAAACTTGAACAATATTATATTAAAACTACTCTGTTTACTACATCGTTTTGTGTTTGCATAATTATTAAAGCTATTGTACAAGAGAGATGTTAGCGTAATTGTAGAATCATATGTATAACTGATTTTTACATTTACTAATTGGAAAAAAAACACCTTTACTTGAATATAATCATTGCCGCAAATGATACTTAAATTTTAAACAGAACATTTCGCACAACACCCGCCCGCCCCCCCCCCCCCCCCCCCCAAAATCTAAGACTGAAATTATACATAGGGGTCATCCATAAATGAGGTCACGCTTTTTTGACGATTTTTACATCCCCCCATCCCCTCGGTCACGCATCGCCACAAAAAGCCAGACCCTCCCCTTAAAATGACTGACGTCACACCTAGCCTACAACCCCCCTCAAAATTGCAGTTAAATTTTTTTTAAACATTAATATTTTTCCAAAATGAAATCTGAACTCTGTCCAAATAGAGCATTTTAATCAACTCCTATTACAATTTGTTAAAACAATTTTCTAAAACGCGAAATAACGCCTAAAATGTTTACTAACATTGCTTTTTTTTTATGCAAAAGTGTGACGTCGCACAATCTGACCCCCCCCCCCCCCCTCATCACACACCGTCCGAAAATTACGGACCCCCCTCCCCCCTACAAGTGGGACGTCATTTATGGACGACCCCATGGTCATTAGCATAAGCCAAAGAATTGATGTGTCGTGTGAAGTGGTGTGGCCTCTATGGCGAGAAGACAAACACCTTTTGTTGACACTATGGAGTGGTGTGTGACACGCCTGTGTAAGGACTTGACGCCACACGCGTAAACAGTGCAGATTACACGTTTTAGATCAACGTGTGTAACAGCGGGAGACCACACTCCCACCCCTACCCTACACACAAACACTATGGAGTGGTGTGTGACACGCCTGTGTAAGGACTTGACGACACACGTGTAAACAGTGTAGATTACACGTTTTAGATCAACGTGTGTAACAGCGGGAGACCAACCTCCCACCCCTACCCTACATACAAACACTATGGAGTGGTGTGTGACACGCCTGTGTAAGGACTTGACGACACACGTGTAAACAGTGTAGATTACACGTTTTAGATCAACGTGTGTGACAGCGGGAGACCAACCTCCCACCCCTACCCTACACACAAACACTATGGAGTGGTGTGTGACACGCCTGTGTAAGGACTTGACGACACACGTGTAAACAGTGTAGATTACACGTTTTAGATCAACGTGTGTAACAGCGGGAGACCACACTACCACCCCTACCCTACACTAACCCTAAAGTTCTATGCCCTCCCCCCCCTTCCACTTTAACTCTCTAACTAGACTTCTAACCTGAAAGTCGCGAGTTCGAATCAAGTAAGTAGACCGTCCCTAAGTTCCCTGATGGGTACCTGACTCACGTTAAGGAAAGTAAAGGCGGTTGGGTATAGTGCTAACCCCACTATCCCTTCATATGCCTAGTTACAGATACACGTGAACTCTACTTCACAAACCCCATGGACAGCCAAATTCGAATAGGAAACATTACATTTTTTGTTTACCTTTAAGTCTCTCCACCAGTAGGCCTACACATCAGCAGATCACAAAGTTTTGCACAAAGATCTTCGCTTCATAAGTAAACATTAACAATCTAAACAATGATTAAGACTACATAGGCCTACTCTAGTTAAGCTCTCAAAAAAAAAAAAAGAGCCACTTTCAAAATCCCAAATAAAAACTAAAGTCAGATTTAGATCCAGTATTGAAAAGCTAGTTATACAAAGTAACTAAGAACACGATTCATCAAATCTGTACGGTAAGCTAGAAATAAAATTTTAAGTTCGTACTAGTGACATATTTTAAAACGAATATTATAATTAACAAAAGCAAAACAAATCTTGAGCTTCCAGGTATCTCTTCGGTTGGGGGGAGGGGGGGGGAAGCTCCCCGAAAAATGTATGCCCATTGTGTCGGCATGTATGCCCATTCTATCGGCATATGCCCATTCTATCGGCATATGCCCATTGCGTCGGTATATGCCCATTCAGTCAGCATGTATGGCCATTGTGTCGGCATGTATGCCCATTCTATCGGCATATGCCCATTCTATCGGCATATGCCCATTGTGTCGGTATATGCCCATTCAGTCGGCATGTATGCCCATTCAGTCGGCATGTATGCCCATTCAGTCGGCATGTATGCCCATTGTGTCGGTGTGTGTTGCCCCAAACAGCGCTATCAGACGTGAACAATAACAACCACCATACACAACGACCACCTAGCCTGTAAAATAAGCCACCTCACCAGGTGCCAATTGTTACCCAAGTGGGCCTATTCAAAAGTTGAACCTGTATTGGATATCGATTTTAGCGTAATTATTAAGTAATTATTGATTTCTTATAATTTTTGCAGGTCAATGCAGTTATGTGGGGTTTTATTTTATTTAAAAAAAAATACTTAAATTTTTTTTTTTTTGAAGTAGGCGTATAAGAATAATGTTTTTTTCCCAAATATTTAAAAGTAAAAAGAAACATATTTTGAGTTTTGAAAAATAAAAATATTTTTATTGTCTTAAAGTGAAACTTATTATGAATTTGTTTTTAAAATTACAGAAGTTACATAGTTACATGAAGAAAATTAAATAAGTAACATTTTACATTTGATCAGTAGAGATAATACACACGCTATAGTAATGTCACACTCGTAGGGGGGAGGGTTCGTAATTTTGTGAGGGTGTGTAATGAGGAGGAAGTGGAGGGGGGGGGGTTTAAATGGTATGACGTCACACTTTTGCATTATAAAAAAAAAAACAGTGTTAAAAACGAGTTTTAGCTGTTATTTCGTAAATAGTTTTCATTATAACACTCTTTATTGACATCATTCAGACAAGATTTTGGAAAAATATCGATGTTTTAAGAAAAATTCAACTATTTTGCGGCGGGTTGTAGGCTGAGGTGTGAAGTCATTTTAAAGGGGGGGGGGGGGGAATCTGACTTTTTGTGACTAAGTGTGACGGAGGGGGAGGGGGGGGGGGGGTAAAAATCGTAAAAAAGTGTGACGTCATTTATGGATGACCCCCAATAGTTGGAGCTGGCTATTAAGTTGTGATGTATTATATACAGTGTTTCTTTCAGCCCCCCCCCCTTTCGCCCCTTACCCCCAAAGCACGGCTACTTGCCCCCCACCCCCCCCCCCCCCCACCAAATAAAAAGTATTTTTAATATGAATATATATACTTTTACCAGTGTCCGCCACCCCCCCTCCCCCCCCCCCCCCCCCCGTAGAAATAAAGGTCTGAAAGAAACACTGCAACAAGAAAGTTAGGGTTTACGAAGTTGCCCAGTCTTTGAATATGAATTTATCGTTTTATTCAACAATTGCAATATGGTTTAAAGATAATATAATTTACAAGAAAAACTAATGAACGTCGCCTTTTAAGAATTACAGTTCCAATTGAAAATATTACTTTAAAAATCCAACTATAAGATCTATTAAAGGGTAGTTACATAACACGGTGTCTGGCCAACTTGACATAAATTCACTTACACAAAAAAGACTTTACAGTATTAATTGTATAGTTTATTTAATTTAAAAAAAAAGAAGTATCACATTTTTGTATGGAAAGGGGGTGGGGGTGGAGAGTTATAGTTATAACATGCCGTATTGTACACGATCATATGAATGGTAGGTTGTGAGTTATAACATGTCCTATTTCTGTGTTCTGTTAAACACACAGGACCAAACTATTATCTAAACCAGGGGTTCCCAACACCGTGCCCGCGGGCGCCATGGCGCCCGCCGAACGATTCGTATGTGCCCGCCTCTCACTATTCGACAGAGACAGAATTTTTTTCATTAACATTATTGAATGGTTGAAGGGGATGGAAATCGAAAGTTTGAGGGGGAGGGGGTGCAAATCGAAAATTTGAGGGGGGGGGGTGCAAATCGAAAGTTTGAGGGGGGTGTGCAAATCGACAATTTGAGGGGAGCGGTGCAAATCGAAAGTTTGAGAGGGGGGGTGCAAATCGAAAGTTTTGTCCCCGGGTGACGGGAAGGGTCGCTACGCCTCTGGAAGGAGTTTGTCGATTTAAAATAGGTGTTGCCCACCACCCTACCGATACTTTAGAATGTGCTCTAGAGTAAAAAAAGGTTGGGAACCCCTGATCTAAACTTACTTAGTATCTTATTAAAAACATGTTATTGTTAAACCTGTATTTGAAAACAAAAGACGTAAGCCACTATAAAAATGAGACTTTGACCGTTCATCGATGCTGCGTTTGTCGTAGTTGGCACAGGAGGCGTAGTCTCAGTTTTCACGATACTTGAAGTATCTGATGCTGCCGTTGTTGTCGTCAATGTGTCGTCTAATGACAGTGGAGGGAAATGTAAGCAACTTTAGGTATTTTATTGATAAAAATCTTTGTAAAACATAAATCCTCAAATAAGAAAACAAGTTAATAAAAAGTCTAGTGACAATTTAAGCGCAATTTCCTTAATTAATTTTTTGTGACCGAACGAAAGGATATTTTTGAAAACGTTCTTCGGCCATGTTGTTCTAAATTATGACAGGAATCGATTGGTAAATGTTTCAAGTCGCTAAGTGGTCTGCCAAGATATGGGCCAAAAACTGAATTTTTTCGAGGTTTTTTGGCTTTTCCGGGAAATTCAGGAAGGAATTCCGGGATTTCTTTTGGCCCACAATCATCCTCGGAACTTGCTTAACATATTTGCTTTTTGAACTAGTCCTCGATATTGCTTTGTTGAGGAGGAGATACGACTTAAAGCTGCGGACACACATCGGACACACATCCATCCTTGACGAGTTAATAATCGCAATTGTCAAGTATGGAATTTGCGCTAAAAATGACGCTGTAGCAATCTGAGTAAATCTATAGGCCTACTTATATTAATAAAACCTAGAGGGAGGTAATATCCTGTGATGATATTTGACTGTTTGTATGAATGCGACTGTCTTAGCTAAGGGAGAAAGACTGACTGTTTTACGCGAATTAATGTGAAAGACAGTTTCTTTCAGGCAGAGTTTCATCCAGGCATCTCTTCAAGAAACACTGGTGTTAGGCGTCCTATGGGGGTGGGGGGGGGGGGACGGAGTCTCCCAGAACGAAATATGATTTATATAGAAAATATATACTTTTTATCCCCCCCCCGGAAATTTTAGTCAGCCCCCCCCCCCCCCGAAAATTTCAAGTGTCCCCCCCCCCCCCCCCCCCCCCCCGAGAAAAAAGTCTAACATGAAGTATACGCTGTTGGTAGCACCTCAGAGCAAAACACAAATAGAACGACAGTCGTTAATTCTGTTTTATCCGACATCAATTTTTGCCGCATCAAAACTAAAGAATGACAAAAGAACACATTATCTTAAATAAAACAAAAATACAAGTTTGAATACTTCTCTCAGTGCATAAGCCGCACATTGTATCATAGCTTGAGCAGCTGATGATGATCACGGATTCTTGTCTACCCATCAAACAGTTCTTGGAAGCGCTGTTTTCCTCGATGTTGGCGATCAAAGAAACGATGTCACTACTGATAGGCTGAAGTGTGTCGATCCATTTGAATACGCCTTCATCGTCCTCGTCCGTGGCCCCAATAGAAATCTCCCCGGCTTTTGAATAAATTTGTTTATAAAAATCCTTAAAGTTACTGGTAAAGGGTCGTCCATAAATGACGTCACACTCGTAGATGGGAGGGGGGGGGTCCGTAATTTTTTGTGTGATGAGGAGGAGGGGGGGGGGGGGTTCAGATGGTGCGACGTCACACTTTTGCATTATAAAAAAAGCAAGGTTAGAAAACGAATTTTAGACCTTATTTCGCGTTTTAGAAAACTGTTTTAATAAATTGTAATAGGAATTGATTAGAATACACTATTTTGACAGAGTTCAGACAAGATTTTTTAAAACATATCGGTGTTTAAAAAAAAATTAACTGCAATTTTGAGGGGGGTTGTAGGCTGAGGTGTGACGTCATTTTAGGAAGGGGGGGGTCTGGCTTTTTGTGACGATGTGTGATGGAGGGAAAGGGGGGGGGGTAAAATAGTAAAAAAAAAGCATGACGTCATTTATGGATGACCCCTAAAAGTAAATGTTTTGTATATAAATTCTATTTCGTACGGGGAACGATGCCTGAAAGAAACTGTGTATCCGAATTCATCTATAAGTTGTAACATGTTAACTAAAAAGATTGATGTACGTAGATACATACATGCAGACACTGACATATATGTATATATTATATATGTGTGTGTTTTGTGTCATGTGTGTGTGTTTGTGTGTGTGAAATGACGTGTTATTTAACTACACCCATGTTCTCAGTCAACGTATCAATTTTTTTTTTACTAGTTGTCATAGTTAACCCCCCCCCCCCTTCCTTCACCCCCCCCCCCCCCCCCACCCCCCACACACATACATATTGTTTTACACAAATTGATCACTAACACCGTCACCATTGTATCCATACAGTAGAATACCTTTTCATTTTCCCCGATTTTAGGTATAAAAAATCCAATTGTTACTTTATGCTTTGGGCGCTCATGTTACACGTTTTATAGTCCATTGCTTTTTATTAAAGACTGGAAATTTATTTGACTCTCTAACATCCCGTGTACTTAAAAGCCATCTGTTAATTTCTTTTTTACTTTCTCGTATAAACGAAGTATAGAGAAAGACTTGTGATCGTGCACAAAAAATATTCGCCGTTTTTAGGCTCCCTGAGTCGGAAAAACAGTTTTGCAATCTTGTCCGTATGTCTGTGTGTGTGTATGTGTGTCTGTGTGTCTGTGTGTCTGTGTGTGTCTGTAAACACGATAACTTGAGTACCGTTACAGCTAGGTTAATGAAATTTCATATATAAGTATAATATCAAAATCGTAGATCGGTATCAATTTTTGAGCGATTTTTGATAACCGGAAGTGGAACTTTTTTTACTTTACAATTTTTGCCTCAGACATATAAAATCTAATCTGTTTTAATGTTTACTTTTTAGAAATTTTGAACTTAAATTTTTTTTTTTGACTTTTTAAGAGAATTTTAATCATCCATCACTTTCAGTGAATATTACTGTAACTCACAAATACTCAAATGTCTTTTTCTAACAACTTATAATAACTGATTTTCTATAAACATAATTTGTAACCTGACTGAAAAAACACTAGCAATATCTATAAACAAGTATTTATTAATGTTATTTTTTTTTATTTTAACATTTTATTATTTGGAGAAAATAATTATGTACAATTACAACTTTTAAAATACCAACATTTTAACAATTTCTGCTATTTTTTTCCTTCGACCATTATAATATGACGAGAAAAATGGCCCGTTGAGGAAGGATATAACGGGCGCTAGGCTGATAGTGCTGTCTCTTTTCTCTAAACTAAAACCACCCCCACCCCCCACCCCCCCCCCCACACATATAGAGTATCGATGAAGAAATTTCTTTTGAGTTGGGGAGGGGGGGGTGGGGGCTCAGACGTTCTTACGCGGGGGTGGGGCTTCGCCCCTACCCGAAGAATTGTATGAAAGAAACTCTTCACGCAAACCACTTAGATTAGACAAAATTGCCTTTGTATTCAATGTTTACTCGAGAATCAATGACGTCATATTACTGTGTGCACTCTCCGGCTTGAGGTTATTTTCTACTCTGTGCTAAATGTGACCGCGTCATACTTCGTTTTTCGAATTACTATGCAGGTTTTTAATTTGCTTGTGTTTTCTCTAGAGCGTTCTTGTCAGACAGAGCGTTCTTGTCAGATAGAGAGACAGCGAAACTATTAGTATGGATAACCAAACTTTGTTTTCACTGGAGGATCTGTATAGTGTGGTTTGTCTGTGGTACTGTTGGGAAGGGCAAATGCTGCATCTTGAAGAGGTCCTACCATGCTGCCTCTAGTCATCCAACCCAAGTCTCCCCCTTGTCTAGCTTTATCTTTCACTGTACTGTGCTGCAACTTCATTAAACTTCATCCCAGCCTTAAGCTTATCTAAAGCTTCCAAAGCCTTTGATTGCTTCTCACAGAGTTATTAATGTTATAATATCTAAGGCAGGGGGTCATTTGCATTGTATTAAAATTAAGTAATAATTCGTCGATACTTGATTTATAAAATAATTAGTATGTCTATTGTATGAGGAAGTCGACTATACATTTAATTAAAATATTTGATTATTTATTTATATTTATATACTCAACCATTATCTTGGGATCTAATAAGGACAACATTATTTGATCTTTGTTATTCTCTAGCATGAAACTAATCATGCGTGGCCAACAGTTGACGCCCGTCGGCTAGTACATATACTTATTTCCCCTTTTGCTAATAAATCCAGTAGTTTTTACTTTCTCGTATATACGAAGTATAGAGAAAGTATTGTAATCGTGCAAAAAAAAAATCGAGATTTTTACAAATCTCGACGTTTTATACCTCACTGATACGGAAAAACATAATTTTGCAATCTTGTCCGTATGTCTGTGTGTGTGTGTGTGTGTGTAAACACGATTACTTGAGTACCGTTACAGCTAGGTTGATGAAATTTCATATATAAGTATTTTATCAAAATCGTAGATCCGTATCAACTTTTGAGCGATTTTCGATAGCCGGAAGTGGTACTTTTCCTACTTTGAAATTTTCAAAAGCCTATAACTTGAGTACTATTTCAGATAGATACATGAAATTTCACATGTAAGTAAAAGATCTAATTCTCTACCTTCTGTTAAATTTTGAGTAATTTCCGTTGACTGAAAGTAGTAATTTACGCTACTTTCGATTTCTCAAAAAACTAATGTAAATTTTAGAAGTACTAATAATATTGCGCACTATTATGCGCTTTTTTATTTGGCGTTCACTTGGTGTGCAATTAATTTGTCTACGAGATTTTATTCTATTTTTAAAACTTTAAGTATTTAAAATGGATTAAAAATCATGTCTATAACCCGAGTTCCCATCCCCTGTTATTTTATATAAGAATATTCGAGAAAGTTTAGGGCAAATCACTCCCGGTTTATTTAAATCAAATTTCAATGACTAAAAAGGTGATACATTTCGCAGGTATCCAATTGAGCCCGAATGGAAGGGTGTATATGAAGGGCTCAGTGGAAAAAGTTATTTATGAATGTGGTTAATTATTTGTGTAGAATAACCCTCGGTGATTTATGAAAAAGAAAAAAGTCAAAGATAATCTCGAACTTACAGCATTCCTCTGTGAAGTGGGCGATTTCCTCAGCTGTTCTCACCCTAGCAGGGACAAAGCTGAAATTGCTACATAAAGTCTGAAATATGTATGTATATTTATATTCGTATTATATACATACATATATATATATATATATATATATATATATATATATATATATATATATATATATATATATATATATATATATATATATATATATATTTATATATATATATATATATATATTATATGCACACACACATATACATGTGTGTATGATTATATATATATATATATATATATATATATATATATATATATATATATATAATACGAATATAAATATACACACATATACATGTGTGTATGATTATATATATATATATATATATATATATATATATATATATATAGGCCTATATATACATATAATTATATATCCAGTTAAATACACCAGTGATGTACACATACAAGTATACAGTTAAATAAACAAATACCTATATTTTTGAAAATAAACAACAACTGTAATATATTGATTTTGTAAGTAAAAATCAATCAATTGTTCCATATTCTGATAGAAGATAGGATAATGCACCCTAGTAACTACGGCGAAAGGACAGGGCAGCAAGTGTTTTGAATCGATAACAATTGTTATATAAGGGTGCCTAAAGAGGCCATCTATAAATGACGTCACACTTTTTTGACGATATTTACCCCCCCCCCCCTCAACTCCGTCACACATCATCACTAAAAGCCAGAGCCCCCCCCCCCCCCAAAAAAAATGTATGTCACACCTCAGCCTACAACCCCCCCCCCCCCTCAAAGTTGCTGTTGAATTTTTCTTAAAACGTATATTTTTTTCCGAAATCTCGTCTGAACTCCGTCAACATAGAGTATTTTAATCAATTCCTATTTCAATTTATTAAAACAGATTTCTAAAACGCGAAATAACGGCTAAAATTCGTTTTCTAACATTGTTTTTTTTTATAATGCAAAAGTATGACTTCACACCATCTGAATCCCCCTCATCACACACCGTCACAAAATTACGGACCCTCCATCCCCCTTACGAGTGTGACGTCATTTATGGACGACGCCTAATTGCTGGTTCTGCTTCTATTACAGTTATTTCATATTCTTCCCTATTTATATCTAGTTAAAAAGAAAAGAAAAACAAACACACAAAAAACACATAAGTTTTGATTCGCTACCTTTACATAGTTCCAGTATACAAAATCTTTATATAAATAATAACACTGGTTGTCGTAAAAGTGAAATAATTCACCAGGTTTGCAATCTTCCTCTGCTATCACTGGCAAAACAAGAACATATATTTTCTATAAATGTTTTTTATAAGACTTTCCCAGGCTTTTTTTTTAATAAAAATAAAATAAAAAGATTTTTTAGAGTTGAAATTATGTTTTACAATATCTGCATGTATAAATTGATACATTCATAACTCTATTTTGCCTTGATACCCAGACGCACTGTGCATTCTCCCTTAGACCTTAGTCCTTGTTTCGAATCCATGAATCGAACTCAATGCGTTGTATTTGTAATCGAGCGCTCTAAATCTCGACCACACCGTCTGTTTTGGTAGCCAACAGTTAATATTGTTATTTTATGTAGTGCAAAAATACCCTAATCACCGAACATCACATCTTTATAAAAACTGCTGAAAAATCAGCAAGATGCATCGCAGTTGTGTATGAGTTATGTTACAAATCAGCAAAAAGAATCGAAGTTTTGTATGAGTTACGCTAACAAATTTACTTAATAGCAAAAAGGGTCGAAGTTTTGAATGAGTTATGCTAACAAATAGCAAAAAGGGTCGAAGTTTTGCATGAGGTATGCTAAAAATCATCAAAAAGCATCGAAGTTTGTATGAAAAGTCAAGTCTGATAAGAATTTAAATAAATAATTACCTTGTAAAGATGGACGTACCAACACAGTTAACAGCAACAAAACCAGCATGGTAAATCAGATTAATCAAGACGAATACAGGTAAAAAAAATGGTTGTTGCACACTTCGCGACTACCCCACACCTATCAACAACAGCCGAGCTTTACATAAAACCCGTTGTTGGATACCATGTTATGTATTTGTCACAAGATTTAAAATATTACATTACAATGTTCCTGTCTGGTGACGATGTATAAAACACACCAAGGGGGGTAACAAAGTAATGGGTGTTCATGTCTGGTTACTGTATAAAACACACCAAGGGGGGTAACAAAGTAATAGGTGTCAAGTGGTAATAAAATAAAAAACGAGAACAAAACAAAGCCATATTTAACAAAGCTGTGTACAGTTTTATTATTAGATTTCTAAATGCTAAACGGCAATTATTCTACAGGGGTTACACTTGAAAATAATCAACGCAATGTTCACAGCTAATTAGCCGTCTTGCTCCAAGAACGTTACGTCAATTGTATGGCTGTATGGCTGTATGGCTGTATGGCTGTAGTGTTTGCTGTCTGGTGCGGGACTCTTGTTTACACCCCACCCCCCCCCCTTCTAAAACATATGTATCTATACAGTGGCGTAGCCAGGAATCGGTCATGGGAAGGGTTCAAATATTTTTCCATATGTATAAAATCACACACACACACACACACACACACACACACACACACACACACACACACACACACACACACACACACACACACACACACACACACACACACACACACACACACACACACACACACACACACACACACACACACACACACACACACACACATATATATATATATATATATATATATATATATATATATATATGTATATGAATGTGAGTCCATAAGAGGGGCTACAACCCCACCCCCTAACCCCCATTGCCTACGCCACTGTATCTTTAATCACTCGTTCAATAAACAATCTCACATAACATGTGTGGGCATGCAGTATGTTGGGGTACCACCAGAGGCTTAGCCAGGGCGGGTCGGTGGAGTGCGGACCGCAACAAGTGACACCATTTAGGAGGTGACACCAAGGCAAAAGAATTGCAAAATGTACAGCAGATTAATGCCTTTTTTGCCAGATCCATGGATGATTAATTAAATTTAAATAGATAGGGGTGACACCATAACGTAAACTGTGCTACCTATAGAGAAAACCATGCTACATCCAAATGTATTATTAACAGACTAAACATCGTTACTATTAAGTCTGCAGTGATTAAAGCTTATACACATACATGTAAGCGTAAATGGCATATATTTAAATTATATGTCTATGTAGGCGGACACATACACACACTCATATATATCAATAAATAAATAAATAAATAAATAAATAAATAAATATATATATATATATATATATATATATATATATATATATATATATATATATATATGGTGGTAGTGTGTCAGTCAGTCATCGCTATAGATTTTGGAACCATAAAAGTAAACACATCACAGGTCGTGCTTTGTACTTAAATCGCAGTGTCTTATTATAAGTAATAGAGTTTGTTTATATAACTAATTAAATTTAATTTATAGTTGCCACTGATTTACACTTTGCATATATATATATATATATATATATATATATATATATATATATATATATATATATATATATATATATATATACTTCATTTTTTGGAGGGTGCGTGAGACCACGAAGTGCTGCACCGGGTAACACCCGACGTAGCGACGCCACTGCGTACCACTGTATACTCCTGTGTGAATATTTGTAATACAAAGACACCATGATTGAGCAGACTTAACGGTCGTTTAAGCTCGTGGTTGCTGAACCGAAAAGTCTCGAGTTCCATGTGAGGCTCGATATTTGGGGACAGCAACTCTTCTAGGAGAGACAACTCCAAAATTAAACGACTGCTGCCTTGTAGTTTGTTTTTTGAGGGACAAAGGCTATGAAAGCAAATCCAAAAAGAAAAGCAGGCTGAAATTGGGGTCAAAGGCCTATATGGCACTTAATACGTTGACACATAATAATTAATTGTGAATCTGTTCCAATGCTAGGATTAAGAACGAAGCAGAAGAAGACAACTTAATGGTTTAACCTAATACAAGTACAATCTATTGTTTGTGATTTCAATAAAGCGATGAGACGTCTAAAAAATAATAAGAACATAACAACACCAGTCTTTTATGAGCATTATGCTTAACGCTGTATCAAGAGGCTCTGTTATTTAAATAAATAAACCTCGAAAATTCTAGAATAAAACATGCAACTAAAACACAATAAAAAACAATATTCAATCATATTTGTTATAAGATTCTATATACAAAAATTTATACATAATACCATTATATAATGAAGAACACCAAATGTGAATGCAATCATAGTATGTTTATTGATAATTTAAACTTAACTTACAATGTTGTTGTGTTGCTTCTAATTCTTATTTATCTTCACTTTACGCACCGACTAGGTAATTAATTAAGTCGCTAATCAGTGGCTATTATAAATTACCCAAGACCTCATCCCCATCTTTACATAACACCCTCTCATCTTCTCACTCCCGTAGTTTGTTCTACATAACTCATGAATGTTATACATTTCTTAATAATAAAAAAACACTCGCACACACTCGAACACACATACACACACACACATACACACAAATACACACATACATACATATTTAAGAGAATAGTAAAATGCTACACCCAAGTTAATGGGTGATCACTGACCAGCAAAGAACATCCGTTCTTATAAAATAACAAAAATTATGTCTATCTTCATGATAACTTTACAGCTAGCAGGAAAACCAAAATCGTAGCTAAGAAAATAGGTTGGGTACAGGTAAACACTATGAGCCAGGTGTAGGCCGGAAGTCATAGGTTAGGGGGTGATGACATGGACCCATTAGATAGTATTTATTGATATTAGCAAACCAGGCCAAGTTTGTTTTTTTTTCGATTAAAATATAGCGTCTATAATTATAATAATCGTCGGGACAACAATACACAATTGTATGTTGATGTATTAAAAATATTAAACAATTTTAAAAAATTAAAAATACATACATTTATCGATTGAGTTTTAACTGCAAATATGTATATTTATACATATACAAAACCTATTGAAGATTTCCAAAAACCAAGTTCCAAGTTCTTATAAAAAAGATACGTTCCTGATCAAATTCACCTTATCACAATGTGTATCTTTCTTTGAAGCTTGCCTAAGCCACCATTTGCACGAGACACGCAACAATCACGGCTGCCATTTTTATGGTGATCGATCCTGTAACCGAAAAATCGGAAAAATTGTTAATGTAATGAAAATTAATGATCTTCTCATTATGCATGTTTTACTCAAAAAAAAAAAAGATGAATTATTGCAAAAGATAATTTTAAAAATCTATAACAAATGCTATTTTTTCCACGCTTGTTGCGTCGAGGTAGTTTTAAACGAAAACTTATAAATATAAATTTTTATAAAATCGAAGAGGCTCCAATAAAACAACTCTTGTGATATCAAAGTGTATCCTCGTATGTGATCGGGTGGTCATTAAAGGAATCTAGCACCGCCGGCCGGTA